CAGTTAATACAGGTAATGAGTGGAGAACAGGAGGGCTTCTTAAAGAAGAACTAACATGTCTGTGAGAGCCAAAATTCTTACTGGTTGAGAGATGATCAAATACTTATTTCACACAATAAAATGGAAATTAATTATTTAAAAAATCATACATTGTGTTTTTCTGTATTTTTGTTTTAAATTCCATCACTCACAGTTGAACAGTACCTATAATAAAAATTACAGTCTTCTACAAGCTTTGTAAGTGGGAAAACCTGAAAAATCAACAGTGTATCAAATACTTGATCTCCCCACTGTATTTATGGGTGCGAACGGAGGCGTCGCTCAGGTACTGCAAGCTGCAGCTAGACATTTGGTCGGGGAGGCTTTCCATATGCCGTCAACTCCATCACAAACTGCTGGCTGTGTCGCAAGGAACTATGGGAAATGTAGTCTAGATGGGATGATTTGTCTGTGGAGCGCTACATCAACCAGTTAAATATTAATTAGATCTCCCTTTTTTACATTAGCCTTTTGGAGTCAACTATTGTCTGTTGGCAAACAAATAAAGAAAAAAGAAAATCTGGATTCTAATGAAGCTTTTTTGGAAATATGTGCATCTAGAACTGATCAACTTGAGTCAGTCCAGTTCAAGTTGGCAGCCTGAGCCATTTGTTTTAGCAAACACGAGATCTTCAGTACACAAATATACAACTTACTAACAAATGAAGCAAATACACCATTCCTTTTTCTTTTTTTTTTACTTTGCAGTACAGAAATCACTGAGCCCAGTTTTTTTTCTTTACAGTTGTTTAAAAAACAAAAAAAGAAATGAGGGCTCTCATCAGTTCAATACTGCCCCAGTACACATTTGGTCCTTTTGTTTGTTGTTATTTGAAACAATTACAGCGAACCATACTTGCAATTTGCTGGTAATGCTTAGATTACATCATTTTAGCAAAATACACAAACTAATGCACGTCTGCGTTTACTGAGCACAGGTTCAGAGAGTTTATTCTTCAACAGACACCACTATGGCTTGGCTTACAGTTTCCTGTTCTGGCAGGGCCAGGGGGAGAAAAATCATTTGACTGGGTTTACTGCCAGGAACAACTTTGGTGCTCACATCTTTTCATTAAAAAAAAAAAGAAAAAAAAAAGAGGGCTGAGCCACAAGCTGGCATGGGGAAAAAAAAAAAAAAAAAAAAAAAAAAAAAAAAAA